GAATGGACCGAACTGCATCCGAAGTGACTCGTGATGATATCATTGGTGAATATTCCGAGAGATTTGTAGATTGAGTAACTAATGAAGATTTTCTTCTTCCGATAATCATCAAGTCGAATTAGTTCGTTATAGATTTGTGATAGAATTCATTTCAACCACAAGAAGAAACAAATTGAATCCATCCGAAGGATATATTCGAGATAATAAAAATAAATTAGCCGAAGGTCTTGCTTCTGCCCGAGGAAAAGCAAATTTTCAGCTTGTGTTATATCCGATGATACAACCGCATTTACTTTAAACACGATGAATTCTTTAGGTGGTGTAAATTGGTGCCTATAGCTAATTCTTTTTTCAGCTTCGATTGCCTTTATCTGCAAAAAAAAAAAATCATAGAGATTTCGATTTCTAATGCTTGTAAATATTTCATAAATAGATTTATGCAGTCTTATTGAGAGTCCCTTAACATTATTGGTATTCATGTATTTCCTCGTGGTTTGGTATAACATATTTTTGGGAAATACATAAATGTGCATTCACAAATTTATCATTTCATGTTATGGAACTTTTGTATGGTATATTATTATTAGCTTGAATATTAGAATTTTATATTTTCAGATCACTTCAAGTAATATTAAATTAAAATTCTATACAAAAAATTATTTGGAAATTAAGTTTTTTTTCTTGAATCATGGAAGAGGGAGGGGCTTCAAAAAATTTCTTGGTGCCGATGATATCATCACGAGTCACTTTGGATTATTACCTAAACAATTTCATGACCTATGTGCTTATTAATTTTTCATCATATCAATAATAATAATATCATCATGTTAATTTTTTTTATTTTTATAACTAAAAAACATTTAATTATTTTGTATAAAAATATATCAGTATTTATAAGAATTAAAAATAAATATATTTTAATTTATTAAAACTATGATCAAATTGAACAAATATATAAATAACATGGATTACCTATTAACGGCGAGTGACCAATTTGTAATAAACGATAACGTTAGTTACCTATTTGTAATTTTTGAAACATCATTAGGGAAAACGAGAACTGACCCATAAATTTAGTGACCATTGGAGTAGTTTACCCAATAAAAAAATGATTCGGCTTTACGAAGTTTACATAGCCTCTCTCCTTTCACTTCTTCGTGCTGTCTCCTTTATCCTTTTCTCTCGGTAACGCTCGATTCCCTTCTTCTTACCTCCGCTCACCCGTCCACCTGAGAACTCAGTCTAGAAACGTCTTCAATCCGCCCATGACCGCTACCCGGTTAAACCGCCTCGTCCCTGTCAACTCGGCTCTCACTGAAGACAGCAGCACCGCTGGCGATGGCTCTGCTTCCGTGAATTTCACTGAAGAAGACGATGGTACTTTTTTTTTGTTGCACTTCCGGGAATTTAGCTTCTTTTTGTGCTGGATTTTTTTTTAATTTCAGTTTCAAGCTAGTTACTTAAAAAAGTTTCAATTCTGTATTTGATTTTAGAGAATGTTGCAATCGGAGTTAAGTATCGTGTCCCGCCGCCGGAAATTCGAGATATCGTTGACGCTCCGCCGACTCCCGCGCTTTCATTTTCGCCATTAAGGGATAAAATTATGTTTCTCAAGCGGAGATCTTTGCCTCCGTTGGCGGAACTAGCGAGACCCGAGGAAAAGCTTGCTGGTATTCGAATTGACGGGAAATGCAACACGAGGAGCCGGATGTCTTTCTACACTGGCATAGGAATCCATCAACTGATGCCTGATGGCTCGTTGGGATCTGAGAAAGAGGTTGGAGGATTCCCTGATGGTGCTATGATTAATTTTGTTTCTTGGTCAAATGATGGTAAACATTTGGCCTTCAGTGTTCGTTTTGAGGAAGATGAGAGTAGTTCTAGTAAGCTTAGAGTGTGGGTTGCTGATGTAGAGACCGGAACAGCTAGGCCACTGTTTCAGTCACCGGATATTTATCTGAATGCAGTGTTTGATAATTATGTTTGGGTAGATAACTCTACCCTCTTAGTTTGTACTATTCCTATGTCTCGAGGAGACCCACCAAAGAAACCTTTAGTTCCTTCTGGCCCCAAGATTCAATCCAATGAGCAGAAAACTGTCGTTCAAGTTAGAACATTCCAGGATTTGCTGAAGGATGAGTATGATGAGGATTATTTGATTACTATGCCACTTCCCAACTTGTCTTGGCTTCCTTAGATGGCACAGTGAAGGAGGTTGGTTCCCCGGCTGTTTACACATCTATGGATCCTTCCCCTGAGTCGAAGTACATTTTGATTAGTTCAATTCATAGGCCGTATTCCTTTATTGTACCATGTGCAAGGTTCCCAAGAAAGTGGATGTGTGGACAGCTGATGGGAAATTTGTTAGAGAACTCTGCGACTTGCCCATTGCAGAGGACATTCCTATTGCATTCATAGTGTAAGAAAAGGGATGAGGTCAATCAATTGGAGAGCAGATAAGCCTTCAACTTTATACTGGTATGTATCTGTATTATTTTCTCACTTATGCATTTATAAAGTTGAAATTGGATGTAATTATATGTGACTATAGATGGTCCAACTTTTAAGTATTTTTGTAAAGCCAGAGTGCTACACTTTTGTGAAATAATGGAAACATGAAAGATGCTAGGTGTAATTGTGCTATCAACATGAATGGATTTGATTTAACCCCTCCCATACCTCAATGATAAAATATAAGCTTTTCATCATGAAGTTTCTGTATGTAGTTCTTGTTCCCTGACTCTGATGAGGTTTTTAGGGCAGAGACACAAGATGAAGGCGATGCAAAAGTGGAAGTTTCGCCACGTGATATAATTTATACACAACCTGCAAAGCCGCAAGAAGGTGAACAGCCAAATCTTACACAAACTTGATCTTCGCTATGGGTAGGTTTACATGTTATATTTCTTAAATTTATCTTCATTGGTTTATTTATATTGATTTAACTCTATGAATATAGCTGGCCTTTCTTGCTGGTGTATTTGCAATGATGTGTCAAAACCTTGGTGAATGAACTTTGTGTGACTGCTTGCTGATGTCAAAACTATATCATCAAATTACTGGAATTCTAAAATTGAGTCAAGATTTGTAATAGATGGAGTGAGGGACGTACTAAACTTAATTGCTACTAACCAATCTTATGTTTATATTTGAGTTCCTCTAGTAAATGTTGGGATAAAGTTTTTTCTTAGCATGCATTTATAACTCAACTTCCATGTATGCATCTTCTCTACTCTATAGTTTATGGCAAAGGGATTGATAAGCGTTTTAAGTGTTGAGTAGTTCATCAAGTTCTGCTTGCTGGAAATAAACTTCAAACACAATGCAGACTACAGAAGTTAATGGCAAACTACTGTTTTGTATGAAAATACCAGTAAACTTTTAACAATGTTATCTGATACTCATGATTCTTCATTTGACAGAGGGATTTCGTGGTGCGATGATTCACTGGCTCTGGTCTATGAGTCATGGTATAAGACACGTCGAACAAGAACCTGGGTAATATCTCCTGGATCAAAAGATGTGAGTCCACGCATACTCTTTGATAGGTCATCTGAGGATGTGTACTCTGATCCTGGTCTCCAATGCTGAGGAGAACCCCTGCTGGGACTTATGTGATAGCTAAGCTAAGGAAAGAAAATGATGACAGAACTTATGTTTTGCTGAATGGAAATGGTGCTACACCAGAGGGGAACATCCCTTTCCTTGATTTGTTTGACATGTAAGTGTTTAAGAATTAACCTTTCTTTTGTGTGTTCATGTTGTGGGTCTACCGACCATTGTGATCTAAATCAAATTCTTCCAGAAATACTGGCAGCAAAGATCGAATATGGGAGAGTGACAAAGAGAAGTATATGAGAGTGTTGTTGCTTTGATGTCGGATCAGAAAGAAGGGGTTATACACCTTAATGACCTGAAGATTCTTACTTCTAAGAGTCAAAAACTGAGAATACTCAATATACATTCAAAATTGGCCAGATAGGAAATCATGTCAGATCACAGACTTCCCTCATCCATATCCACAGTTGCATCATTGCAGAAAGAGATGATTAGGTACCAGAGAAAGGATGGGGTTCAACTTACTGCAACATTGTACTGCCACCAGGATATGATCCATCAAAAGATGGCCCCCTTCCATGCCTGGTTTGGTCTTACCCGGGGAATTTAAAAGCAAAGATGCAGCGGACAAGTTCGTGGTTCCTAATGAGTTTGCAGGCATAGGTCCAACATCAGCTCTCCTTTGGCTTGTTAGAAGGCATGAAATTATTCTCTTCATATTTGTTATATACACCATGCATTTTTACTTTTCAGCTGGGTGCCACTAGACTAAATTATGGTAATATTTTCCGCTTTGCAGATTTGCTATCTTATCTGGGCCAACAATACCAATAATTGGTGAAGGGGATGAAGAAGCGAATGATAGGTAAAGCAACTACTTGTATGAAAAATATACACATTTGTGTATGTTTGTGTATATATATCCAATCATATCACTATCTGTGTAGGTATGTAGAGCAACTGGTTTCAAGTGCAGAGGCAGCTGTTGAGGAAGTTATCCGACGTGGAGTGCGTATCTTCTACCATATTATCATCTATGAGTCGCAGATACTGATTGTAATTTCTGATTGAGCATTTCTGGTGCTGCATGGTATTTAGGTAGTTCATCCTAACAAAATTGCTGTAGGGGGACATTCCTATGGAGCATTCATGACTGCAAATCTTCTAGCACATGCTCCTCACCTTTTTCTCTTGTGGGATTGCTCGGTCTGGAGCTTACAACAGAACCCTTACACCTTTGGTTTTCAGGTATTGAAATAGAGCATTTAAGTATATTTACTGCAATGCCTATTTCTATCCTCTCTTTCCTCTCTTCATTTCTATTCCGACGGATTTATGGCTTTCTACATTTCATTGGTCTAGCATGAGGATAGAACACTTTGGGCGGCAACTAATACCTATATAGAGATGAGCCATTCAGTCTGCAAATAAAATCAAGAAGCCTATCTTGCTTATCCATGGAGAAGAAGACAACAACCCTGGAACATTACCATGCAGGTATGGCTTTCCGTACCGTCATATGTGGTCCTTCTTTTGATGTTCTACCAGATTTATCCAATCGCCCACAGAAATTCACTAACAAAATTTATTTTGTCCCCGATTATCTATTTGTTGAATTATGTGAAGTTAGATAGCTCTCTCCTACCTCTTATTTGCTCGCTCCATCTTCTAGAAATGCAAACCTGTTCACAGTTCTTTTTAGATCCTTGAAAATTTAAGCTATTTGGCTTATTATAGATCACTTTGTTACTTGTTTGCTTGCTTACTTGTTGGGAAAATCCATACAATGCCAGTCGGATCGTTTCTTCAAGCTCTGAAGGGTCATGGAGCACTTTGTCGCCTTGTCATTCTGCCCTGCGAGAGCCATGGCTATGCTGCACGAGAAAGCATCATGCATGTCCTCTGGGAAACTGATAGATGGCTGCAAAAGCATTGTGTGTCGAACACCTCTGAAGTGAGTCCAGATATTGATGCAAGCAATGATGGAGGGGCAAGGAAGTTAAAGATTCTGAAAACAAAGCAGCTGCTGCCACTGGGAGGTGGTGGTGCAGAGCTGGCTGATGATTTGAAAGTGGCAGTTCCATTCCAAGCCAAGGTCATTAATGTGGTAAATATTTTTTCCATTCTTTTCTAGTCTTTATTTTTTACTACAATCAATTGATCAACCAGATAACCGACTTAACGACTTGTCAATTATGTGTTTGTACATTGTAGATTACATTTCTGAGCTTCGGCATGGGGACTTCAACTGGACTGATATGATTGGTATGAAATTGCAAATGCCACAATTTCAACTCATACTTTAATAATCCTAGATGATTGTGTCGACATCATATACTACCGCAGCCCCTGAATGCCATCGGTTTGAAGTTTTAGCATGGCGTTATTTTCCTATCTTCCCCACTCTTGCATTGTTTAGTTTATCAAACACATTAGCCATAGTTTAGTTTACGAAACTCGAAATTCAGAAATCTGAGTGTTGTGGGGGATCTCAAGCAAACTGTAACAAGTTACAACAACATTTTTATTACTCTTTTAACTTTCGATTGTTGGAAAATGGTTCGGATGCTCGGGCAATACATGCTTGTTATAGTGTTTATACCCATTGTCAGCTGAAATAAAGCTTTCACAACTTAAATACCAGGATGGAATGTTAACCCCAGTCCTGCGAAATGCAACAGAAAAATCCTTGGCTTGATCTTATATTGTTTTATGACCAAACACTCGGAAGGGGAAAACTAGAGATCTAACATGTTTTAGGTTTTAGATTTAATGCACTGTCAATTATATGCCACCGTTATTTGTAGGGGTGATATTGATTCGATTTATTTCAGTTTCGCTTGGATGAGATTGGTTTGATATAGTTTGATTTTTTTTATTAGTTTTAGGTTTTGGATTTTATTTGAACGAAATAGATCTGTTTTATGATTTTCTCGTGAAATTTTAAAGGTTTTTTTATAAATATTTTTTTGAATAAATAAAAATAATCCTTATACTGTTCTTAAATTATTTTTATATTGAAATATAATTACTTATTTGTATATTATAAAAGATAAAATTTAATTAAAAAATTAAATAAAAATAAAACTTTATTCAATTTAAATAATCACAATTTTAAACTAAAGCAACCAAACATTATAGCGTTAAATATAGTTAATTTTTTTACAAATGTAAATTAAGAGATAATATATTGATCATATAAGAAATATTTTAAAATATGAATTCGATTAAAATTTTAATTTACAAAACCTTAGTTATTCTACCTGCACTTAATTATCCAATGTTTAGCTTAAACACGATAATAGTACACCGGAGCAGCGGCTATCTCAGTCGTCAATGCTCTAACGCCCATGATGAATATGAATCCAAACAACGGTATTCGTTTTCTATTTAATAAGATGACACTGTTGAATGTATTTCCTAAACAATATACTCACAAACTCAATCCAAGTTCATGGTTTTATTTGATAAAATGATGTTAGTTCTTTTCCAAAATTCCCAGATGAATTTGGTCGCTCATCTTGAAACAACATTTATTTATGTGCAACGACACTGATTTCACCTTTGCCAAGCATGTCAGAATGCTCTCACTCTCCTCTGCTCATTCCACTGATTCTTCCAAAATCCACCAGCAGAAAGGCCGAGTGTTATTCCGATCACGATCTCCGTCATTTGGTCCTTTCAAGGCAATCCTCGGACCACCCATTTTCACCTCCACTCGAAATCTAGTAAGCCCTAAAACACAAGCAGCAGAGACAGTAAATGTTCATAAACCTAGTAGTGACGACGATTTTAGAATTGGTTCGCACTCGAGGAATGCTAATGATCCAATCCAATAAGATCGGAACCCGATTAACATGTAGTTTATTCTAAGATTATTGAGTATACAAATGATTTACCTGAGCAAGTCTAGCGAAGCAGATGGAGAGAATTAACGTCGCCTTCTACAACACCACCACCACCTTTTAAAATTCTCTATTTTCCACTTCTGGAAATGGCTTCGAAACTGTCCACATGTCATCCGGGTTACAATAACAGAAATTCCGAATCAAATGGGGTCTATCATGCTCCAACTTTATTGATCATCGATTTATTATCATTGGTCTATTTATAAGTTTTCAGTCTTCTACAACGCTTTAATTTGATATAATTTAAAATGTTATCCACAGATCTAAATTAATTGTATCATTATTTTTCAGGATTTTTTTTATTTGATGATGAAGGGAATTTTTTTTATATGATCAAATAAAAAATTTCCTGACAAATAATGATACAATTAATTTAGATCTGTGGATAACAATTTAAATTGTGCCATTACCGAACCTCGATTCTTTGAGGTAAATAAAATCTCGGCTTATACTCCATAGTTGTCAATATGATCTTTGTTTAACTGTGTGAGTTAGAGAATTCAAACATGGTAGGTTCTATATGTTTTAGGGTAAACTACTATCAGGAAGGGAATCAAGTACATCCCAAGCTTGATGTTTCCACAGCTTTTAGAACAGCTTTGATGACTTGGGCAGCATGGGTTGATAGACACATTAACTGGGCAGGACCCGGGTTTTCTTTCGAAATTCGGCACCGTCCCATTTCAGGTTTGCGTATGTGTTATGCTTTCCCTTAACATCTCGTATCGCCTTGCCCAAGAACAAAAAGAAAAACATCAACCTTTATCGGTTTTACTGAATTAGCTATGATCATTACACAGGGGAGGACTGTGGAATTCAGGAGGCCATTGTATGGAAGCTACTTGGCCCCTTAATTACACATCAGGCATGGGATTCGCTGAGAAGAACGGAATTGTGGAGGAAGTAATTTTGCAGATGAAAACTCAGGTAACATTACTGAATGTAACCGGTTTATCCGCTTATAGGATTGATGGCCAACCGTTGATATATGGCGAAAAACCAGGGATGCGTTCTTCCAACATTCAAGATTGCAGCCATTGGGGCCTTCCTGGTGTTCCGGATACATGGAATAAAATTTTGTTCTTCCATCTGCAATCGAATCAAAAATCCAAATATCACTAGAAACAAATATATTGTGATCCTTACAACTTGTATATTTTTTTTTAATTCTTTCAGTTGTAAATTAGCATTTACCATGTGATTTTGGGTGCAATCTCCTTCATGCAATTGAGATTATTTGAATGAGGTTTTACACTGCGTTTATCTTTTATGCTGATGACCTAGTTCTCAACCTATTGATTTGGTCTTTTTAAAAGGTTAATAATCTTGCTTTCGTGACCATAGTCATCGGATGTCGAATATCAATTCAAATTTATCAGTGTGTATATACACACACAGATAAAAGAACCTAATTGAATAAAACAATTGGATATCATAGACATAAAAAATGCTTTCTAGCACCAATTCCTATATTTTTTATTGTTAGATACCTAGCTCGTTGCCCAAGCAATTATTTCTACCTTTATTTCTCGATCCCCTTGTATCTTTAGGAGTGACTTGTGCAACTAACTACGCACATATAATGACGACATTGAATATGCCCTGTTTACAAAGGAACTCCTTTTCCGAATGCGGCAGTGATAAAATTCTTAATAAAAATCTTTAATCGTTATAAAGAAACAAGAAGGTACTCCAAGGATTTGAACAAGTGCAAATTCACAGAAATTCAAACGTGCATATAAGTGCTAAAACAATCTACTTCTCTTCGTTAAGTAACAACAAATTAGACTACAAACAAACGGAATGAGCGGAAGATAAACAACCATAGAAGGCTTATTAGTGGAAATGGAAAGATGAATAACATTTGCATCAGGACCCAGGTTTCTAGGATGAAGAACGGCACCAGAGAACAATAAAGAATGCAAATATTTGGATATCAAGGGAGAATTTTAGCCCAAAAAGTTACCAACAAGAAAGATTACGGCAGTATCAACTCATAAGACAATACGATACAAGGTTTTTATCACAAAAGAATAATAAAAACCAAACCCGGAGGTAGCATTGATCACTGCAAGGCTTCCTGTCCTCTTCATAATCAGACCAATATGGTTGCTTTTCACTCTGTCAAGCAATAGGTTCCAAATCAGTTAGACTAATGAAACAAACTCATAAAATTGAAAACAGGATGAATTAAAGATTGGGAACAGCCATGAAGACGGCAATCAAATAACTGTCAAGCAGATTAAAAATTGATCAGCAAAGGGAGTTAAAAATTTCAAAAGAGCCACCTGTGATATCAGCATCCCATGCTTATCTTTAATGAATAGCATTAAGAACAATGGTGACAGATAGTACCAAGCAGCGGCGGCAGAATATGTTATCAAAAGAATCTAAGGCAGTAATGAGACTCTTTTCCAAAGATATAGCATTCTCAGATACTTATCTTTTAATGCTGATGACCTAGTTCTCAACCTCTTGATTTGGTCTTTTTAAAAGGTTAATAATCGTGCTTTCGTGACCATAGTCATAGGATGTCGAATATCAATTCAAATTTATCCGTGTGTATACACACACGGATAAAAGAACCTAATTGAATAAAACAATTGGATACATAGACATAAATGTTTTCTAGCACCAATTCCTATATTTTTTATTGTTAGATACCTAGCTCGTTGCCCAAGCAATTATTTCTACCTTTATTCTCGATCCCCTTGTATCTTTAGGAGTGACTTGTGCAACTAACTACGCACATATAATGACGACATTGAATATGCCCTTTACAAAGGAACTCCTTTTCCGAATGCGGCAGTGATAAAATTCTTAATAAAAATCTTTAATCGTTATAAGAAACAAGAAGGTACTCCAAGGATTTGAACAAGTGCAAATTCACAGAAATTCAAACGTGCATATAAGTGCTAAACAATCTACTTCTCTTCGTTAAGTAACAACAAATTAGACTACAAACAAATGGAATGAGCGGAAGATAAACACAACTATAGAAGGCTTATTAGTGGAAATGGAAAGATGAATAACATTTGCATCAGGACCCAGGTTTCTAGGATGAGAACGGCACCAGAGAACAATAAAGAATGCAAATATTTGGATATCAAGGGAGAACTTTAGCCCAAAAAGTTACCAACAAGAAAGATTATGGCAGTATCACTCAATAAGGCAATAACATACAAGGTTTTTATCACAAAGAATAATAAAAACCAAACCCGGAGGTAGCATTGATCACTGCAAGGCTTCCTGTCCTCTTCATAATCAGACCATATGGTTGCTTTTCACTCTGTCAAGCAATAGGTTCCAAATCAGTTAGACTAATGAAAAAAAACTCATAAAATTGAAAACAGGATGAATTAAAGATTGGGAACAGCCATGAAGATGCAATCAAATAACTGTCAAGCAGATTAAAAATTGATCAGCAAAGGAAGTTAAAAATTTCAAAAGAGCCGCCTGTGATATCAGCATCCCATGCTTATCTTTAATGAATAACATTAAGAACAATGGTGACAGATAGTACCAAGCAGCGGCGGCAGAATATGTTATCAAAAGAATCTAAGGCAGTACTGAGACTCTTTTTTCCGAAGATATAGCATTCTCAGATACAGAACTCTCAGAAAACTTTAATGTTCTGGTCACTGTAATTGTCTCTTAGCAAGCCATGCCGATCCTGCAATCTCATAGAAACGGTTACTAAGAAATATTTTTCAAAATGGTATGTAAATAAAAACCTTGGAAGGATAAAGAAACCAAATATCATCCAAAGCAAGACAACAATGTGCGCATAGTTATGGCAGAATACCTGGATTTCAGAGATGGTGACTCCAAAAAACTGGCTGACAGAAGTCAATATTTCCTCACCTAGGCCATACTCCTGGCAGACAGTCCTGCCAAATTCAACCTTATTAATCTAAAATGATTGAGCCTTATTTTTTTTCTTTTTTCCATAATGTGCAAAGGAAAATAACTTATCCAAAGTTCCTAAAAATTTAAATGAACATTTCTTATGTTGACAGTGTGTCACTTCTGCACTAAACCCAGGGCAAGTTACATATACTGATATAAATGCCAGCACGAAAATCTAACACATTATAAAAAGAAAACAGCAGAAGAGCCGGACACACTTTTTCCATCTAATCTTACGTCAGTCTCACTCCCTCACCACCCACTAAAACAGTTATAGGCCCTAGGCCATATACATTGAAAGATTATCAAAAATGTTTATAACTTGCATTTCCGTAGATGATGTTAACTTCTGACCAGTATGATGAGGGGCAGGCACAGGAAGCTCAGCTATCCGAGTGCAACTGTGCACAATTTCCTTTTCTTAAGAAAATTGTGTGTGTGTATATATAATTTTTCTTTAAAAAAGAACCACACTCCTCTCTATTTATTAATGGAGGTTGCATGCATCTTATTTTACTTACCACAAAATACGATCTTCACCATCAGAAAATTCATGTTTTTCTTCCTCGTGCTCTGCAATGTCTTCCTCAGGCTCTGCAATCTCTTCCTCACTCTCACTACAGATCAAAGCTTCACTGCCATGTTGGTCATAGTATATAAGTCTCCTCCCCACAACAGATTGGTCATCGACCATGCTCTGATTTCTGTGCCGAATGATGCAAATTTAAGACAAGCCAAAATAAAATCTCCTGGAAAACAAGATAAGCTTATCTCATGCAAAAGCTTAAAACATAAGCAAAACCTTGAGGGCTTAAATAACATGGCTAGCTTTTGCTAATGGCTTAAGCTTGGTGTCAACACATTATCAAGCCCTTTCAGAAAATCTCCCCAAATTATAATCCTCAACTGGAGAAGACTTAAGTAGCATGGCTAGCCCAGGACCTAATGGCTAAAGCTATTCAGATCACGTGGTCTAGTCTTTCTAACTTCTCTAGTGGCCTACTGAGTCAAAGCATAAGATATGTGTACATAAACAGACACAAATTACTCAAAACTAGGCAGACTAATATACTAATCCAACATACTTGTCCAGAAATATCCATGATGTATATGGTGGCAACTTCTCAACGTACGGAAGCTTGACACTCATTGAAGATACAACTTCATGACCATTAGCAGAGTCTCTAACTCCTGACCCTTGAGCAAATCCAGCAAACTTACATAGAGGAATTTGGATTCTTGAAGAAAACGTTTTACCAAATCCACTCTCCTCCACACATAAAGTATTCCTACTTGATGTAGCCGACAAAATCTCCGAAAGATGACTCTTAAGCTTCTTTCTGTTCTTCTCAACTTTTTCCTGTGCACACCACACAATATAAATATAATTTATTTGCATCTTGTCTGGCAGGTTGGAGCACAAATAAATTCAACCTAGACAAACCGAATATAACAGACTCAAAGTTACTCATCGAATTTGCACGCATTGAGGGGGGGGGGGAAGTCAGATTTCATGTTATATTTCTAAAAATGATCAAGCTAGTAAAATTCAAGGACAAATAAGAATATAATAAGTGAAATTTTATGTGACTTCTGATTAATATACCTTTGTCGAAGCTGTTCTCTCCGCTTGAATTTGCCTTTTAAGCTGAATTAACTTATGTGTCAAGTTTCCTACGCCGCCACCAGAGTGTTCTCCATGTGATTTCTGCCATATCAATAAAATAATAACAACAAAATAAAACGTTGACGAGTAAGCTAAAACGGAAATTTGAAAGAAAAAAAAATCCATTTTCTTTTCTATTTTCTGTTTCTATATGATTCAACAGCAGCCAAACAGAGCATAAGCGGCAGTAAATGGCGATGGAATCGAGAGAAAGCTCTTCCTCGCATAAACCAAGTAACTTCGTTCGCAAATCATATTCAGAGGAATTTCAAGTCCGTGTTATCGTTTATGGACCAAAATTAGATTTAAAAATCATTTGAATTTTATGTTTGAATGATACAGTGAATTACTCAACTAATAACAACGTTATTTTATAACAGTGATAGTACTGAATGCAAACGGAGAAATCAAAAGGGAAAAATAGAAGATCAAAAGGATAGGAAGGAAGATTCTAACTCTAGATTTAGAGGAAGAGTCGCTCCCTCTGGGGACCATTGCTGGTTGAATTGGTACTTTTCTCTGCTCCTCGGAGTCCTCTTCCTAGTGAAGAATCTGAAGATATAAAACTAAAGAAGCAAAACAAGGGGCCGACACGTGTGGACTGTTGTGTGGGACTCCGTTTCAGCCTTTCAGGTTTGTTTACCTTTGCGTTCACGGGCCCAACCGTTTGTTTTAACCCTAAAAGTTAGCCCCGAGGAATTTCAACGGGCTTCATTAGTCCGCCTTCTAACAGAAATATTTGAGCTGAATCCAATAGATTTTTATTTAATTTTATAGAGTCAAATTTTTCAATTTAGATTTAGATTTATGTTGAATTATATTTTTAAAATAAGATTTAATCAAATTTTAATTTAAGATAAAAATATATGATTTAATACGACTGAAGAAGAATAATATAATTAAATTATATATATTTAGAGACTAATAATATAATGGTTCTTTTTATATTTTTTAATTAGATTTTTATTTTACAGAATAAAAATAATAATCAATTATATAATTGTGTCGGATTAGATTTGAGTTTTTCTTTCAAAATAGAATTGGATTTCAGTTCAGGTGAGTCTTTCTTATATCCGAATCAGATAATATGTGGAGATGTTGTATTTAGATCGAATGACATGAGAGTTAAATTTTTTACCAGGCCCATGATCACCCCCACTTATGACCATGTTAGCGTGTTAGTCTATTTAATAGAGAGAACAAAATATATGAATTTAAGGTTTTTAATTTAATTCAAGTTTATAGAGTTGAATTTAAATATGTTTTAATAAATTTTAAAAAAAATCAATTATAATGTATCGATATTATTTTTAAATTATCAATATTTTTTAGTTTTAAAAGTATTTCTATTATTTAAAAATTATTTAAATTAAAATAATTAATTATTTTCAATTTATTCGCATCTTTCTATAGTAATACAAATTTCTAATCTCAATTTTTAAACTTCCTTTGATTTTAAATGTTGGTATTCGTTTACTAGAATTTATGTACTTATAATATATTGTAAACTTATTTAAACATTAAATTATGCATTCGATTTGGGTAGATTCTAATTTGAATCATATAAAAATAAATATTTTATTCAAATCTAATTGTAAAAATATTTAAATACTATTAATACATTGCTTCCAACATATTAATAAACAAAAAATGAGAAAACTTGCAAGTAGATTGACTGGCTGCCAATGCAATTATGTTTTAACAAACATCCACACAAGCAAGTAACAATTCCGTATTTCAGAACCTATAGTTTCCATATACCCTCCCTCTACCTCTCGAGAACTTCCAGGCCGAAACCGATTGCATCGGAGTTCCCTTCCATCCGACGATCACGCTCTTCCCGATCTTTTCAAGTGTGCAACCACTGCCACAAGGGAACTGTTCAATCACTGAGTTAGCTTGGTACAAGGACGAGTCGCTGAACCCCAACTCCTCCATTCTAAACCTCGCGAAGAATGCCGACCACACTTCCATCGTCACACATCTAGCGGTCCTCTCTTTGCCTTCCATAGCCACGATGTTCCGGATCCCTCTAAAAAGCAACGACTCAATAGCCGTTCTCAACTCGGCTTCATGTTCCAGGCAGATGTCGAGGCAGTCGAAAAAGGCGCTGTAGAAAAACAACGTTTCGATGAATCGATTCACGAACGACGGAGCGTTGAGGTTGGCTTCGATTTCGATGACAACCAGTATGGCAGGGTTCAAATTTTTTATCACTCGCATCAGATTTTCCAAGCAGCCTGGCCTTGAAATCATTGTTCTAAGCACCAGTGGACAGAAAACAGCTAAAGATTCGTCGCTTCTGATTTTGAGCAACTCTTCCTTGATGTCTTCCATGTCTCGAACATAAACTGCATTGAATGAAAAGGGTAGCTTAAACGATGCGGCGACACTTTCCAACCTCTTTCCAGACTGCACTATCTTCTCATCGCCGGTTAATCCCACAGCCGTTATATTGAGAAGCTCGACACAGGGCAGTTGGCGTTCCGCCAGAGCTTGCATCAGGCCGGTCCATTGAATGCCACTCCTGAGTTGAAGATCGATTATATGAATCTTGCTAGCAGACTTGGCGTTCTCTATAATGGCTTGTATTCCAGCAAATTGCGTTACTAGGAAAAATGGTACGTATTGGTGAATTCTGACAGTTGTAATGCTGGTACTCAATCCTTGTTCTATTTCGCTCATAAATTCCGTCTCCAATTCCTTCGGTACGAACCTTCCTGTTGCTTTATCAATCCTCTCTCGAAGTGCTTCGGCGAAATAGTAGACAATTCGCTGGACCGGATTAGCTTGCTCCGAAGCCATCCATTCGCAACTAGAAAGCAATCTGCTAGCACGTTCGAATTGTTCGTACCCTACTTTCTCTGCCGCCGTTAGAAGTAGATGCACAAGCTCGACGTCTTTCGTCTCTTCGTCGGACAAACCCGAAAGAGCATGACCGAACGGATGCATGACCATGGAGAAATCATCGTAGCTCATGTCGGAAAACTGTACGTATCTTGCTCCAGTTACCCTCAGGATCTCCTCGGTCGAAAGCTTCTTTCTGTCACGTTCATTGCCTTCATCACCATTGCTGCTGCCGTGGTTGCTCGATCTCAGTTTCATGAAACTTTTTCCATAGTTGCGAAGGAGTTCCAAAGACGACATCTGAAAAGAAAACGGCATCTCCTTGTGGCGTTTCGAATTTTCCGGCCTCGAAAATTCTTGGAATCCCGAGTTTGTTGGTAAAACAGAGTTGAAATCTAATTCATCGAAAAAACCAAACTTTGTTTCTAGTCCCTGTTGTTGGTCTTGTTTTCCTTGACCATCGGACATGATTTGCCTGGTTTCCAAACAAATGATCATGCTTGCCTTTTATTACAGCAGCATCTTTCTCGACATCGTAAAGATTGTAATTTCCTTGGATTCCATTGAAGTCAAACGGAGCATTGAAAGATAATAAGCCACCATCCATTGAAGAATTATTGAACTTTTCATCAAAGCTTACATTCAGGAAAAGCATCTAGCTGTACTAATCATAATTTGGTCAAATTGTATAAAAGGTTCCTATGTTACTAAAAGGATTAGATCAGCTAAAATTGCATCAGACAGGAACCTTGTATGCAGTTTAACCAAAGATTTTTGGGATAGCGACCGGTGATGTTGATATTTGGATGGCGGCAACATGTCCGGCCGTTTCAGGCAAAATGCCAATTAGCTAGTTGAAAACAGAATGCATATAAAATATTCCGGTTAATACAATTGGCGCAAAGAACGATAAGATCATAGTAAACAGCACAGACGAGGGCAAATATTATAGGGTAAACTATGCATTCAGTCCCTAAATTTCTATCATGTTTCTGTTTTGTTCATTCAATTCTAAAATTTTCTGATTTTATCAGTTATCTTTCGAAGCTTTTAGGCCACTCAGTTATTTGATACAGTACCAATACTTCATAATTGGCAAAAATCCACGTGGCGAGTGGAAATAAATTGTGTTTATGGGCACAGAACTTGGCCCAACCCAATCATGCTCAAACCAATGAAGTGGAGGATGGGGCCGGCAATGTGTTTGTCGTTGAAATATCTGCATATGTTTATTTATATGCTGCAGCATCAGCAGTGTGTGTTGATAATGGTTTTTATTTTATTGGGTGGTGATGGTGAGTGGTGATTTTATTCATAGTTGCTCATCACTTTAAAATTAAAAGGAGTGACAAGAGAGAAGAAGAGCCAAGTTGGGGTTGTTTTTTTGTCATATTGCCAAACCTCAAAGTCCCTTTCATTTCTTCTTTCTCACAATCCTTTGATTTTCCCCCCATCACCGGTATTAGTGGTAATGGACGCTTCAGGAGAATCAGAGCTCCAACCAACAGAAACTCAGGCATCTAAAAGAAGGTTTTTTGAGTTAAATCTTTAGCATTTAACTTCTGTTGTCGACATGTCTAAATTTTGGTGGTGTTTGATTAGCAGGAAGGTGGCAGAGAGGACTGTTGTGACAGTGAAGATTGGAGAAAATGGTGGAAAGCTAAAGAATGAAGGTCCACCTTCTGATTCATGGTCTTGGAGGAAATATGGGCAAAAACCCATCAAAGGGTCGCCTTATCCGAGGTTCTTTTTTCTTTCTGATGATGTTTTCCTTTCTTTCTTTCATGTTCATTTTTGTTCAGTTTCCTTCATGTTCCATGTTTGATCATGAAGGGGGTATTACAAGTGCAGCACATCGAAAGGTTGCTCGGCCAAAAAGCAAGTAGAAAGATGCAAAACGGATGCTTCAATGCTCATCATCACTTACACTTCCACCCATAACCATCCAGGCCCTGATCTCCACACCAAGCAAAAACATCATCAGCCTGCAGTTTCACAGGAAGAAGTGAAAAACGAAGTGGCCATCAAAACAAGCAGTGATGAAGATGCAAGTGAAGAGGAGCTTTTTCAGTATCTGCAATCCCCATCAAGACTTCCCCAAAACATTATAATCAACCAAGAAGATCCATTCACATGGAATCTAGAGAGAAGGTTTCTGTTAGATGAAGAGCCACTCTCTTCTTGTCCTCATATAAACCCATCTTCGACATCAAAATCAGACGAAAATGATTTCTTCGATGAGCTAGAAGAACTGCCCATATGTTCAGCTTTCACTCGTTTCATGAGAAGCAAGGTTTTCGATGAAGGGATTCCTGTTGTCCCTTCTTGATCCAAGTGCTTCAGCCTTGGAAAAACTTGTAAATTTAGATGTTCATATCATTTTGTAGTGCCTTTTTTCTCTTTCCTTTTTTCGAGTGAGGGTTCACAAATTGAGAAAGTTGGATCAGTGTGGCATGGAAAGTTTGTGAAATGGCGTCGTTTTTATTGATCTGGGAGACTGGGAAAAGCAGCAAATGCCGATGGATAGTGAACCGAGGGGCTCTTTGATTAATGCCACGGGGGAGCTGCTCTTTAGGTAGGTGAGCAGCTCCTTTCCACAATTTAGTATTAATTCATAATTGAAGCCACGAGGTTCACGCCAGACTGCTTTTTTCTATCCTGTTTTTCTAATCTTCTTGGCTCCTTTCAACTTTCTTCTTTGGTGGAGAGAATTTTACTTACGAGATTATTTGTTAAAGATATGGATAAAATACATTCTAATTCAATTAATAATTAGTTAGATTATAAATGATTTATTTTAAAAAAACATAATTTAATTATTAAATCTAAATAAGATATGATATACAAATAGTCCTCCGACTATATGATATTATTTTGTTAATTTTTTAGACTATTAAAATTTATAAAATAGTATTCTGACTATATGATTTTACTTTATTGAATCCCTCGACTATTAAAAATTATAAAATGGTCGCTTTATTATTCATATGTTTCAAATTTGTCATTTTTTTGTTAAAAAATCCATGGTCATCTGAGCTGGACGATAACCTGTTAATCGAGATATCATAACATATGGTCCTAAAATCTCAAATGACCATAGAATTCAAATGATTTTGAGGTCATATTTTATCATATCTCAATCAACAAGTTAATGTTCGGCTCAGACAATTGTCAAATTTTTAATAGAAAAAGACAAATTTGAAACATTTGATTAGTCGATGATCATTTTATAACTTTTAATAGTCAAACGACTCAACAAATCATTATTTTATTGTTAAAGAACTATTTTATAATTTTTAATAATCGAGATACTAAACAACAAAATATTGGGAGATCACTTATGCACTTTAACCATAAAAATATTATATAAACAGATTAATAATTATTAAATATAAGACGAAATAATGAATAAGTGGCGCGCATATTTGCAGACAGGCAAGTCATACCAGTTTTACCTCATCCATTGGCATTATTCCAATTATTGTTGGCCTACCTGTTATCTGTTTTACTTATAACGATGAAAAACAAAGACCAAAGTGGTAGTGGGTCAGTTAAAAAAAAGGTGGCTATTTGATCTTTTAAACCATCAACTTCCAATTGTAGATCCTGTCCGTGTGACAATCTGTTGAGTCACCCGACCAGGACCCATGTTTACACTTTTTACCAGCTTCACCATGTCTACCATGGCATCACTGTGCTACTTGTATCAATTCAGTCTTTAATCCTTTGGGAGGCGTTTTCAGATCGTGATTTCAAACAAATGGGAGTTCATGAAATCCATTTAATATAAAACTAGCCAAAATTTAATGCATTGAAATATAAATACCAGAAAATAGAGGTGATTTTGATAAAAGCATTTCCAATTAACAACCAATTGTGGATTAATAATGAAATTCATATTTACGTATACATTATCACACTGTTTATAGTAAGAGATTGATCTTCAAAAGCAGAGAGGCTGAAAATAAAAACATGGAGATCTATCCATCTTAAACAGATTGAATATTTTAAAATTTGACCAAATCGGTAACAATGTGAAGATTGACGCGAACAAGTGCCTCAAGCTCTGCTTCCATGTCCCTCATCGGCGAAAAATTGTGCATTTGATGGTTCGCATCGAGACAGGTCTCCATGCTGGTGAGTGGGCCACTTAGCTTAATCATCGCCTCCTCCAGGTTGTGCTCGTTGAGGGCTAGGAGCGCAAGGTCGTTGTCGTCGGGAATGCTTTCATAGTTTTCGATGCATACGGAGAGGGCTTCTTTGAGGCCTCCCGAGGCTTCCGGATCATCGTATAACTTGGTGGCCGTGTCGGCGGCTTGTCTCGACATGTTGGTCGACAATTCAATCCCCAGTTTCGCCACGGTGATAGGCTCGACCTGGACGGTGTCGTTTAATAATGGGGAGATGGATTTCATGCATTCGATGGGCAGCTCGGTTTCTTTGCAGATTTTCTCCAGCTCAGGGTTACTGGTGCCGGGCATTAAGGTAAACGAGAACGAAGCCGACGGACGCGGTCCTTCGGGAGTCAAATCTACGGCACCGTAGTACGGTGAATGGGGTGACTCCTCCGGTGAGAACGATGAATTTACTGTCTCGTCCGGGGCTTCGGGATTTGACGTGACGCCGTCCAGTGAGTCGGGTGTCAAATCTGCGGAACTCTCGTCCGGAGCCACGGGTGTTGATGAGCCGCCTTCCGATGTGTCGGGTGTCAAATCTACGGAACTTTCGTAGGGCCCATCGAGCGTCGATGAATTGGCATCCAGTGGGCTGTTATTACTAGAAGAGGGCAAAGGAGTTCTACTAGAAGAAGAACTACGCAATAGGTAGAAGATGGAGATGAGGACGATAATATGCTTGATCTCCATCTTCTCTTGGAAGTTAACCACGTTCAAGATTTTGAGGGAGATAAAGGGATTGGTGTTTTACGTGCCTTATAAAGCCTGGGATGCGCATGCAAATGCCATACAAACTTAACCCTAACCCTAAATTTTCGCCTAACCACCTCTTTTTCCATTTTTAGTAGCAAGATTGCGGATATTGAGGTTAAACATTGTATTCAACGGTGAATAATTTAATTTACTGTTATAATCGCGGTTGTAAAAAGAGTGGGATCCTAGGAATAAAGAAGATGTTGAAATCTAGTTAAAATTTATCCAAGTAACTGTCCGTTATTAATTAAAAAAAACTCCCTTTATTTTGTATTAGCTTGTTTAAAGATTTAGGAATAGGAATTAACTAGTTATAGTTTTACATTCGGTAAAATAATCAAGTATAGCTTAGGGGTAAAATATGATATTTTATAAAATAATAATATTTATTAAAATTAATCGTTCTTCAAAATGTATTTTTAAGTATAACAGAAATTAGCTATCTTAATATTAAAGAGAATGTTATTCTCTTAAAATGATTCAAGTTCGAATAATTTTATCTACAATTATATATGAATTTATCTATTTTTGAAACTGAACACAGATATTATCTCCTAATTATATTATAATATTAAAAAAAAAATCAAGTGAACCAAAAGATAAAAAGAAGAAAATAAACATAAATTTCAAAACCATTATGAAAAAAGTTTAATATAAAGTTATAAACCCTTGTATGCAAATCCATTGAATAACAAAAGCTACAGTGGTGCATATGCACAAAATTTCATCCACCACTGCAGAGGGGGAAATTTAACAGCGGTACAACAAATTGGGACAAGAACCCATTCCCCATCTACAGATATTACAAAATCTACACTTCCATTCGAATCCCGTCGTTTCCTACCGAATAAATTTATCGACGTTGTATTTCACGAGTTTCTGGTTTAAGGCTGCCGGTTCACTTTTTCTCCATTGGAAGTGTTCATCGTCCTTCATGGAGATCTTCAGATGGAGCTGCCGTTCTTGAGATGTTGTCATTGTCGAAAGCGCTTAGGCCGGATAAAGGACCGGAAGAGAACACCGATGATGACTCATCGGACTCAAAAGTTGTAGAAGACTGCCTCTGGTTAGGCCGGTTGTTCGAAATGGTTAAGGAATCCTGATATTCAGTAACACGCTGCACCATTTTTAAAGACTGTACTACTTCCCCCATTGTGGGCCTTTGGTTTGCCTCAGGAGCAACACAAGCAGCTGCAATAGTGCAAACTCGTACGTAATCTTCCTTTGGGTACTTCCCTCCAAGCCTTGGATCAGCTAGCTCCTCCAACCGATCCTTGTCTCTCAGGATTGGTCTCGCCTGAAAGCAGAGCAGCCAACTTGTATAAGTTGTCTAGCATCTCAATTCTCAAGTGATTAATTACAGTATTGCTATTACTCACCCACGTGACAAGGTTCTCCTGTCCTGATGGTTGCGACATATCTACAGGCGTCCTTCCGGTGAGTAACTCGAGCAATACGACTCCATAGCTGTAAACATCACTTTTTACCAGTAGATGTCCAGTCATCGCATACTCAGGAGCGACGTACCTATGAATAAAATGCCATTCTACCTGTATCAATCGAAACAACGGAGCAAGATTTACAAGAGTGGTGCATGAAACTAACCCAAATGTTCCCATTACACGAGTAGACAAGTAGTTTGTTCTGCCGTCAGGTGCTTGTTTGGCAAGGCCAAAATCAGCAACTTTAGCGTGAAAGTTGTTCTCAAGTAATATATTGGATGCTTTGAAATCTCTGTGGATAACACATGGCTGTGAGTCCTCATGAAGGTATGCTAGTCCTCGTGCAGCGTCAAGTGCAATCTTCATTCTCGTGTCCCAGTCCAGAGGACATTTTACTCCCAAGGGGCCTGAGGTAAAACGGGATCAAAGTTGGTACCAAGTATTAAAAGAGTCTTCAGATAAAAGGATAACATCGTTGAATGAGATACCAAGTGGTTCAATTTTAGAGGTAAATTACCGTGGAGCCAGGCTTCTAAGCTTCCATTTGGAACAAGCTCATAACAAAGCAAGTTTTGTGAAGAGTCGCGACTGCTATAGTAACCTACAAGTTTCACAAGATTACGATGATGCAACCTGCTGAGCATCTCAACTTCAACTAAAAACTCTTTATCTCCTTGAGGCCCTCCACTGGTAAGCCTTTTAATCGCGACAGCTGTACCATCACTTAAAACACCCTTGAAAACTCTGCCAAACCCACCCTCCCCTAGTATGCTCGCTGGTGCGAAGTTGTTTGTTGCTTCTTTAAGCTCTTCATATTGTAAAAACCGTGTGCTGCTTGGGTGGGCAAGAGATCCTGCTTGTGCAACCACATCCGCAGACCTTGGCTTTACTGCAAGAAAAATAATAACCTAAGCACTCAGCAAGACTTAATTAAAAACAGTAATGCAAAATCAATCTGTATCCTTGTTTATAAGCCTATGAGGTTTAACTAGAAATGCAAAATCACACAATAAGCTTTAGCTTCTTTTTTTTTTTTTTGTTCAGCTTATGTAAAGGGTTCTGAATCCCTTTTTGCCTAAATAGTAAGAATCACCCTACATGAGAAAGAAAGAGAAAAACAAGTTCTCTTATTTCACGACAATCTGAGAAGGTGCTAAATTGCCATTTTCATGAGATCTTATCAAAATACCTCAAAGCTAGCAAAAAAAAAAGTTATAGTCGTGGCGTTTAACATACCAGGTTCTTGAGGAGATGCTTCTGCCTTTCCCCCACGGAATGCACAGGAACAAATTATAAGCACAGATATTATAGCAAAAACCAGTAAGCCAGCAGAAATACCAAAGACAATAGTCAAATCCGAATGCTTGCCCTTGTTTGAAGGGCTTGGTGATGTAGAACTGGAGGATTTATGTGCTGGTGCAGCTACAGGTTCTGAAACCACAACGGGAGCTGTAAACAAGATGCTAAGCTTTGTCAGGACAAATAAAAGAAGATAACATCATCCCTCATATACATTATACAAATGAATATATAAGAATAATTAAAGTAAAATAAATCAAAAACTATGGGTTTTCAAGAAGCCATTGTGTGTAAAAACTACTTCCAATCAAGAAAAACATAGCTTTCAATCCCACTAGATACGAGAAGAATTTCAGTCAAATCATAATTTACCTGGGGAGGGTGCGGGAGCCTCAAACCATGTAAAATTAAGAACCTTGAAATCTCCAACTACATCTGGGTCAAAATGAACCCTATGCATCACAAGTGAAGAGTTTATTTTAGATGCATCACTGGCAGAAAAACTGATCCCTGTATGTGGAGTAATATCCATAGAGATATTTAATCTTGATAAAGTGATTGAATAAAAATTTGTAATGTCGATTTGAGTAGGCAGCAATTGAAGCTGAGAAGCTAGCTCGGCCAGAAAAACACGCCAATTTGGGTTTTGTGAGACATTTAAAAGGAGAAGGTCAAGCATTATGGGATACACGCAATGGCAACCATGACTCCCTCGTTTCAAAATTGAATTTGGTTTGCAACAATCTGGCCAATTGAAAAATATACATGTAAGCATCTCATACACAGTATAAAAAGATGAGTTAACAAATTATAAGAAGTTATTTCTTTATCATCTAGCATAGAAGACGAAGTAAAATGAAGTTGACTTGCCATATATATGATAACATTAAGAAGAAAATATAATACATTTCATAAAAAAAATGTTTTTAGAAAACATCTTACCAGACACTTCAGGAGACAATGGTGGTTGAGCCAAGCCAGTGGGAATTTCACCAGGACTGATCTGTGTAGGGGCAATATTTAGCAAGTCTGCACCTGAAGACCCTGAGGCACTCTTCTTCATCAATGGTTTCGACAGGCGGGAGCTGGTAGGAGGGTGACGGGCAGTTATAAAGGGGCCATTAAGAGGAGGTTGGACTGGTGCTATAAGTGTTAGTGCACTATGCGGTGAAAAATATCTTCGACGTGATCTATGAATCGATGGCGGATTGCAAGGTAAGGGAAGACCAGAAACAGTTGGTGCACCCTCATGTGCTATAGTGGGCGATTGTGCATGCGCTTGGAGTAGATTATTTGCCAAATCGGCACCGGTGACCAAAATGGCACAACTCACAACAACTACAACTTTCACCAAAAACGAACAGATATTTCCCAATGCTCCTGTTAAGTTATATTAAGAATTAAACACAATAAGGAAAGGAGCAAAAACTATATCAATGACAAAAAAAAAAAATCAATGTCTAGAACGCATAAGAAATAAAAAATTGAGAAACGCAAATAGGACCGACCGTACAAGATTGTAAATCGAATTAACTCAAATGCAAACGTACCTCTTTCACTGCAAAAACAATTCACTTCTTTCATAGATTTATGCAGCTATTATCTACTACTAGTTTTAGTGAAATTATTTCATAAACGAACAGATAATTTTTACTCTTCCTCTTTTTGAGACATTCTTTCATAAGCTTAGTTTCAATTACAGTTTTTTTAAAAGGAAAAAAGGAAGAATTTCTCAAAATTATCATCTAATCTAAGTAAAACTATGTTTTAAACCTAAATAAGTGTTTTATACGAATCAGTTGAAACCTTTCCTTTTATATCTCTGGTCCCAAATTGTGCAAAAAAAAAGTAAAAAAATAATCGAATTTTATATCTGAACAGAGGTTAGTTCAAATCTTCAGTTAAATAAATGAAAAATGAGGATTTTATATCTCAAAACTTTTCCAAGCAACCAAACTTGGAAATCGAGTATAGTTAAATTTATACACAAGGACGGCAAGAGAAATCAAACAAACTGGAAAAGCTAAAGCAAAGTAATTACCACAGGGATTTGAAAGAACAAAAACTGACATCGCCGACGCCGTTGATTGTAAGCGGAAATAAGTCAGATCTGGACAGATTTCCCAACAAACCAACGACAAGATCACAGTTTCATGTGAGCATAAAACCTCCAAACACACACAAAAAAAAGGAGAGAGAGAGACTACGATAACAAACTTATTTGCGATTTGCAAAGGCCAACAGAGGAGCCAACGGTGGAGATAACATCACGAGAATCAAAACTCGCACGCAATGACTGGGAATCAAAATTGCCATTACTGAGATCCCGAGTCAAAAAATTTCAGTTAAGAAAAACTAAAACTCGAGTTCCCAAACGTTGAAAAAAAGGAGAAAGAAACAGAGAAGGGAAGTTGATTGTGAATTTTGTTGGTGGAACTGAAAAATAAATACCGTTGGCTTGGCTTTCTTTTCTATTAGATAATCAGCATCAGAGAAGCTTTTGGTCTTTTTTTAAATATTTTGACCATTCATTTTGGTTTTCCTTCACTAATTTTTTTATTACTTTTATTCTTTTCATATTTACCTTTTTCTAGACTGAAATCTAAATCTACACTTTATTTTAAGATTAAAGTGTTGAATGGGGTATATAGCTTAAGGGGTTGGTAAGTAAAAAAAAAATTGCTTGATGTGGTAATAAAATTCAATTATAAAAAAAATTAAAAAAAATGATGGTCAATAATGAAAATATCGGTGGTTGTATAAGAAAAATATTCATTCAATAAAATAATTACGTTATAATCTAACAATCAGTCAATATATCGTTATAATTATTTAAATTTATAAAATTTAAGATAGATCAATTATTGTATCATGTTATAATTATTATATTTAATTATTTTTTATAAAACCATCATATATATAAATTTGTCATTAAATAATAATACAAAATTGATCATACAAGAGAGAAGAGTTAAAGAAATACAGTTAAATAATTTAAAAAAAAACAAGGATCATTATTTTTTTTATAAAAGTCACTAGTTTTATTAAATATATATATCTAAAATTATAATAAAAATTTACAACTATAAATATAAACTAAACACATAATTGGATATTTTTCATATAATGTCAATTAATATAAAAAAAATAGTCACTTTAGATCATATAATGACCAAACAAGGAAAGTGTTAAAAACTCATAAAAAATCAAAAAAACATATAGATATGAACATATCTGACTGCATTGATAAATTGAACCATAACATAGGATCAAACTAGTGAAGAAAATCGAATACTACAAATAAGAGTCTAAAATTGTAAGAAAACTACCTACAAACGTAAATAGCGTGTCTAAATTCATTCTGAGAGTTTAAAGCAAAGAAAATCATCATGATAAAAAATAAGTGTCATCTTAATTTAGTCGAGGCAATGTCAAATCTAACCTTAAAAAAATAAACAGAAAAAAGTCATCAAACAACCGATAAAAAATTGAAAACGTACCAAAAGAAATAAGTAAACGTGTCATAAAGTTAAAAAAAATTATATCATATAAACAGAGTTATTAAAAATTAAAAATAACAAATGAAAACATAAACTTAATATAAAAATTAAAGGAAAAGTGAGTAAAACTGACGACGGACAATCAACTATTAAAAAAATAGAGAAAAGCTTAAAAAAAGAGCGACACTTAAATTTGTATATCATCAATATTAACATAAAAATAAAAGTTGATGATATATTAATGAATATGACTATAATATATATATATATATATATATCATCGATATTAATCTAAAAATGAATGGAGCGATAACGATATATTGACCATCAACCATCACAATTCAAATTATACAAAATAAGTGTTAAAATAACCAAAACAAAATATCTATCGACCTTAAAAATGAAGCTGAAAAAAATCATGTAATAACATATGAAAAATATTTACTATTTTTATTAAAAGTAAATAAAATTATTTTTATTCCTAATTATAAGAAATATGATTTTATTTTTATAACTTTATATCCTAACGTGCATAAAACTGTCAAAATCCTAGCCGTTGGATTGATACTGACAGCTACTCACGCCATTCATCATCATCATAATAAAAGGAAAATACAGGAACAAGACGGGCGATTGACCAGTCACAACAATGTGCTTTTACATTTTGGATTATTCATTTTCTACTTAAAAAAAATTGTCGAGATTATACTTGTTTATTTAAGTATTTTTTTTAATATGTGTTTAATATTTTATTATTGTTTTAAGAAAGAATTATTAACATACATATAAAAGTTAACATCCAATATATATGATATGTGCTTTGATTTTTTAAGAAAAATATTATAAAATCTGCAAAAATATCTTAAATGGTTGAATCAATCACTCTATCCCTTTCGTCGTAATCACGGATGAATGAGACGATGTCAGGGACATTACATTTATATCCTTTTATATAATTCATGTATATTTTTTTAATAATCTACTTTTATATCCTTTGAAATTTTGTAATTTTGCATCTCTAAATTTCTAAAATAAATTTCTAAGTCTACATCCTAACATACAATCATCTCTCTTTGCATGATTGGACTCCCATTAATCGATCACTCCCTTCCTCATAGCTTTAAAAAAATAAGTCACATGTCAAGTAATGATCAAATTACGACTTTTTTAATTGATATTAGCAATTTAACTTTAAACTAATAATGAAATAAAACGTTATTTGTTTAGAAAGAAGAATAAAAACTTTAAACACCAAGAACAAAAAATTATGTATAATTTAAGTACTTGTTCATGAATCATGATTGTAAGTGTGTTTTATGTTTGGATTTAATATAATCATGTGGGCATTTGTTTTTGTTTTCCCCTTAAATATAAGTTAGGCTTTTACTTATGTCACCATGGGGTACTGTGTTTAGATATAATATAATCATGATGAAAAATGAGATGATCGTTTATTTTTAGGGAAACTAAGGATAAATGAGGATGATGAAGAACATGAACATGGGATAAAATTGATAAAATATATAGATTTTGGGATTATTTGAAGATTAAATTAAATTTATTGAGTTATTTTAAATTATGATTAAATTGATAAAATATATAGATTTTGGGATTAAAATTATTATTATAGTAGATTAATTTATCACATCTATCTAATCAATAATTAAAATTTTAAAATCAACAATGAAGGATTAAAATAAAAATATAATATGATATTAAATATAATTAAAAAAATGGAAACAAAAATATGAAAAAATGGGATAAAAATAGATGATTTACCCTTACTATTATTGTGCATTTAATGAGTGTTGTATATTATTAAGGGATAAGCGTGGCTTGAATCAAGACCATGAGTCTTTAAAAGGGTGGAGCTGTCCCGAATTTAATTGTCTCACCAATATTACAAATACAATACGCTCTCCGGATCATGTTGATAATGACACATGAATAAAACTTTAGAAGATTGTACCATATAAATTAAAATTTTGGTATACCGTTATGTCGTTTTCTTATATTTTATTTTGTTATGTTATAAATACGATATAAGTTATAAATTTAAACTAAACGAAGACATTGTATATTTATTTTACATGAAACAATTTATCTTACTGGTTAAGAGAATTGTTGTTGTTTATAGATGTTACGAGTTTGAGCACCAGCGATTACAAGGGTTATTGAGTGTTCATTGTTAAATGGTTGAGAATATTTAGAACAAGTACTACTTTATAATCACCTTAGCTTAATAAAAAATATTATTTATTTATTTTTTGATTATTTTATTTTATCTTTTTATTTTTATGATTCATATATTTGAGTTTTGTTATTTTTTATTTTAGTAAAAATGATAATGACTCTTATATATTTTTGTGGTATGTTTTATCTATTTCTATTACTCGTTTTTTTTTAATGTTGAATTTGATTTTGTTTCTCCAGTGTACGTTTATTTGATATTTTATTGGTCTATATCTTATTACAACTTTTAATCAACTCTTTCAAATTGATATGTACTCTTAAACACTCTGAATATGTCATATATTAGTTGTGATAATGTTAATTGTCAAATTGTCATATATTTGTATTCATATATTTTTAAATTGTATAGTTGTGTTTTTTAATTATTATTTATATGGTCTTATTTTTATTATTTAATAATTGTTTTGTGCTTTTTGACAATTAACTTATTTAAAGTTTTATTTTTAATTATAATTTTATTATATATATTATTTATTTAATAAAACTAATCATTTTTATTAACTAGTCGAGTTTATAAAATTTGAGTCGAGTTGAGTTTTCGAGTTTCTATATAAATGTAATTGTAAATATTTATAATAACATGATACTATTTGATTATAATTTAAATGGTTTTTTGTAACCATATACAATACATATACATTTTTTTCATATTTTTTTATTTATGATATACTATCATATGCATATATTATACAAAATTAAAGGATTTGACTCAAACTTTAAAATCAATCTACTAAATACTAAAAATTTCGAGTTTTATAAGTTACTATTTGAGTAACTCGGGACACATTTCTTCATTGTTGGGTTCATTTTGTTGTTGCATAAAAAGTCTGCAATCATGGGCGAGAACTCCGGGAGTAATGGAAGTCATGGATTCGTTTTGAATGTCGAAGCGGAAGCCAATCGAAATCCTCCTTCGCCAGCCACCGACGACTGTTTCACTGTTCCTTTCATGCAGAAGCTGATGGCAGAGGTTTTGGGCACATATTTCTTGATATTCGCCGGCTGTGCATCGGTGGTGGTGAACGTAAACAACGAGAAAGTGGTTTCACTACTTGGGATTTCCATAGTTTGGGGATTGGCCGTCATGGTCTTGGTTTATTCCGTGGGTCACATCTCGGGTGCCCATTTCAACCCGGAAGTCACCATTGCTTTTGCTACCCGCAAAAGATTTTATCTCAAACAGGTGCTGGAATATATAACAACCCAAGTTCTCGGATCAACCATGGCAGCCTAACACTTCGCCTTCTCTTCAGCGGTAAAGACGAACGTTACCGCAAGGGTCGGATTTGCAGGCATTTGTGATCGAGTTCATCATCACTTTCTACCTCATGTTCATTATATCCGGCGTTGCCACCGATAACAGAGCTATTGGAAAACTTGTTGGAGTTACCGTTGGGGCTACTGTGTTGCTTAATGTGCTGTTTTCTGGGCCGATTACAGGAGCATCAATGAACCCATCAAGGAGCTTGGGGCCGGCAATAGTGTGGCAGCATTACAAGGGAATATGGATATATCTTACAGCACCAATTATTGGGGCAGTGTCGGGTGCTTGGGCTTATAACGTGCTGAGGTACACTAACAAGCCATTGCAGGACATCACCAGGAGTGCTTCTTTTCTTAAGAGTTAAAATTTACAAGTTTGACGCCTGTTTGGCTGTTTGTACTTTGTAGGGGTCAGCATTCGACAAAGTTCAGTTTAATGGAGTTAAAAAGTTTTGAGTTAATTATAAAGATTCAAATTTCATTTAAAATTTATTTAAATAAAATTGAGTGAAGTCAAATCAAATTATTTGAATTTTATATAAATTTAATTATAATTATTTATAATACTATGTATAAATTAGTTTCATATATCGATTTTTATTTTTATTTATGTAAAACTTTCATCTCTCCGGTGTTTCTGTTTTTATTAATCATAAATAAATATCGGACTTTGAAATCAACAAAAATAATTATGTTCTTCAATCATAGGACACATAGGTGATATATGAGAGATTTGAGTGGTTACATTCCTTATTCGCATATATATGTTAGTGACCAAAATAGAAATTATACTGTAATTTAATGACCAAATAGAAAATTTACCCTTTATTTATTTTGAGACGAAGCCTAAGATGCCTAACAGCCCAGTTCTACAGAAATACTTATCCGAACAAACATCAGGCGCCTGATAGCCTGACACTCAAACAAAGAGAGGGAGGGAGATGAACTTTAGGCGTCTAATTTCGACTGGATCATGTCTGGCGCAGAACTTTCTCCCGTCGACCTCCGCGAAGTTCACGCAGACGGCGGTGGATGCTGCGGCTCCAGTGAGACGTACGCTGTTTTCGAGGCTATCGGTTTTAGGAGCCACTGGAGGGACAGTATCAATGGTGTTAAACGATTACGAAATGGAAGGCAAAATGATCAGAAAAGATTAACTGAGCTGCTGCGTTAAAGGACTTCGCAATTACGGTCGTTACCATGGCCAAGGATAGATTTACTTACAATGCACTTCTGAATTCCTATTGCAAGAATCGTATGAAAGATGAAGCATTAGCTCTATTTAAGAAAATGGATGAATTGAAGATCATCCACCGTGATTTGCCTTTGAACAGTCTCATTTTCTTGTATTTGAAATTGGGACAACCTGAGAAGGTGCCTGAACTTGCCAATGAATTCAAACAGCGAAACATTCCACGTAGTAGCTTCACTTATAATTTATTGATGCAGAGCTATGCTGATTTAAACTACATGGAAGGAGTAGAGAGAGTTGTGGAGGAGTTGTCAAATGACGTTGAAGAAAATACTACTTGGCAAACGTATACTATTCTTTCTTCAATTTATGTTAAGGCTGGCCAGTTTCAGAAAGCTGAGGCATTTCTTAAGAAGTTAGAGATAAGATGCTTCATAAGCGAGCGGCTTACCTTTTTCTGATTAGCTTGTATGCTGGTATTTCGAATCGTGCCGATGTTTATCGCATTTGGGAAGCTATGAAACGAGCTTTTTCCACTGTTCCCAACACGAGCTATCTTGTTATATGATTCGGTCGCTTGCTAAACTAAAGGATTCTGAGGGGTTGAAGAAATGCTTTGAGGAATGGGAGTCGGGCTGCTCTTCTTATGATATGAGGTTGGTAAATAGCACGATCCGTTGTTATCTATCTGAAGACATGCTCGAGGAAGCTGAACTTGTATTGGATAGGGCTATGAAGAGAAGTGAAGGTCTTTTTGCTCCAGCTCGGGAGTGTTTCATGGTTTACTGCTTAAAGAAACTTCGTTTTGACTTGGCTCTGATGCATATGGAAGCAGCAGTTTCCGAGAATGGTGGCTGGAGTCCGTTCCCCGAAACCACGGCTGCATTTTTTGAGTATTTTATAAATGAGGGTGATGTAGATGCTGCTGGGGACTTCTGCGAGATTCTAAGACGTAACAACTCTCTCGATTCCAATGCCTACCTTTTGTTGTTAAAAACTTTATATAGCAGCTGGTAAAGTGGCTCCCGACATGTGTGCTATGTTGGAGGAAGATGGTATTCAACTAAGCCAAGATCTTCAGGGTTTGCTATTAAATGTTTGCCCTGAGTAATGCTGGAAGCTGTTCCAGGTTCCGACCTTCAAATATTTGTATTAGTTGGCCGAGCAAATTCGAAATTATATGTTCTCTTCTGACCTCTGGTTGAGTAAGGACTGTCATCCGCCACAAAACATATTAAAAGTGTGCTCATTTGAACTTGAGACCAACAGACAATGTGTTGAGAAAACCAAAGAGTTACTATTGACATTAAAAATCATTCTCTACACTGAAATAAAGCTAAGTTCATCTGTTGTATTGCTGCAGAATACAACGCTCTCAGCCAATTTGATATATGGAAGATTGCCTATCTAAGCTCCAAAACCGTGCATGAGCGATCACTACAAGGATCAAGGGCAGGACAGAGAGGGAACTCGGACGCATGAATGGCTGGTTAACACGTTCCTTGTACAATCTCGTTCCAAAAATTAACATCCGCTTGCTTCGTCCAGCATTTTGACAGGTTGGGGCAAACATAGTAAAGTAGTCGGTGATGGTGCCCTAAAGCGAGCTGTTGATGCACTCCTAGCCGGCAAGGGTGCACCCTTTCAGCTTGCTAAGTGTAATCTAGGTAGATTCATATCAACTGGTCCCGTCGTTGCAGCGTGGTTAAGAGAATCTGGCACCCTAAAGTTGCTTGTTCTTCATGATGATAGAACTCATCCTGAAAGAACTAGGTTCGGATAAATCTCAAATTTACAGGCACTTCCTTCGTAGCAGTGTGTATAATTTAATGGTACCATTGAAGGTTGTACAAATTGTTCTAGAAGTGGCATTAGCATCTCCTTCTATGATTTATTAACGTAATATTAAATTAATGATTTAAAATATTAGAATATATTTTTTTCTATAAAATTAAATTTTAAGTTTTTGTTAAGACCTCGTAAATATTTGAGACTTTTATGTTCGATACATTTGTGTTGGACTCACTCACAATCAGTAGCGGATCCAGCAATTTAAGAATGAGGGTCTAAAATTTTAATTTTATTTTCTTAAAAATAATGGGTATATAAAAATTGTATTTTTTTTCTTAACACATTAAATTAAGTTTAACCACTCTTTCAAAATACCCCTATAGGTCATAATCATCCATCACTGCTCACAATGGAAAAGACCTTTTATATATGGTCTATGCTTTATGGGCAAGCCAAAGATATATACTAATTTAAAAAAAAACAATAAACATAATTAATTATATACTTTAAGAAAAGAAGCAAGAAAACTAATTTACCTAATTGCCCAAAAATCTACAATTTTCGGGAGGGATCATTTGGCCACCGTATCTAATTGTTTATTTAATTAGACCAAAATTGATAGAAGCGAAAACGTTATTTTATATGTATCAATTTTGGTAACATAATAATTCACAAAATCAAAGATAAATAAATTGAAGGATAATTTTTTTGGTCAAAAAAGTTGAAGGATAAATTTTTTAAATTCTTATAATTTTTAATATAATCTTTTTAAATTCACATCTTTTAATATCTTACACATGATGTGCACTTTTTACTGTTTGTTTACTTTGTTAAGCAGTAATTACGACTATCATAATTGGCTTTAGCCTTTAGCCATGACTAAGGTTGCCCACAAATATGTCCAGAAAGCTCCTTCTCTGGAAATTGCCTACCAATAATAAAACACTAAACAGATAAATCAATTTCTTCAAGAAAATAAGTTGAATGGCCGTATGGCCAATGAGCCCCAACCACAAAATATTATAATATTAAAATGCTTTCAAATTTTATATATTTGTATTTTTTTATATCTTAAATAAGTCAAATGATAATACATTTCTTATAAAAAAAATATAAAAATTAAACTACTTTACATATGTTAATGATTTATTAAATATTATGAACCCATCAGATTAAAAACTCTTATTCGAAGCTGAATCAGCCAAAAAATGCACGAAGTTTCCCACCTACTATTTCTTCATTTCTGCATCAGCAAGGGACAGCCTTGCCTCCAACTACATAAATAAATATTTCACAAAGTTGAAAGTCTAGTGCTTATAGAAGTTTCCAGTCATACATTAGCATACATACATACATACATCTATGTATCATTCTCATCCCTCAAATGTCCCGACATTCTTTTTTATACCTAGATAACTTGATATATTGTCTATATATACGTGCATAGCTTAAACCATCTCGCCACAAATCTCTTCTAAAGAAAGATCTTTCATTTCAGTTCATCAACTGCCATAAACAGTTCTTTGTAATCTGTTCCTTATATTTGCATATTTCCTTCGTGAATCTCTCGCCTTCCTTATTCGTTTCACAGTGTAATTAGCCTTGATTTGAAGTAACTAAAATCTCTTGGGGATTCAGATTCCAAAAAAAAGTTGTCACTTCGTGTTTTTAAAGTCGGTCTCGTGTTCCCTACATTGACATCCAAAACTCAAGTTTCATCAATCTTTTGAGAGTTTCCAGCACTTTGTTTTTTTCATGGCACCACCAAACAACCCTGTTAGTTCCACCACCAATCTTCCCCGGTCTAGTAGTTTAGAGAAGTGCTTTGATTTGTGTGATGGAAAGTTGAGTGTCAACGGCTTTCCTTTACTGCATGATGTTCCTACCAATGTCACTTTCACACCATTTTCCTCGGTCTGTAACGCCTTGGAGTCCGATGCACCTATTCCTCTGGTTCAACGAGTCCAGGTTATGGCTCAAAGAGGTGGGTTCCTAGGGTTCACCAATGACGAGCCATCTGATAGTATGTTGAACTCTCTGGGTAAATTCACTGATAGGGACTTTCTGAGTGTGTTTAGGTTCAAAACATGGTGGTCCACACAATGGGTGGGGACTTCAGGGTCTGATTTGCAGATGGAAACACAATGGGTAGTCTTAGATATCCCTGAAATAAAGTCTTATGCCATGATCATACCGATCATCGAAGGCGGTTTCCGGTCTGCTCTTAGGCCTGGCAAAGATGGTCATGTCATGATCTTCGCGGAGAGTGGCTCTAGTCAAGTCAAGTTATGTTTTTTCAACTCAATAGCCTATGTTCATGTGTCTGATAACCCTTTCAACTTGATGAAGGAAGCTTTTAGCGCTATTAGGGTTCATCTTAATACCTTTAAGCTCTTGGAAGAGAAGAGCCTTCCTTCTATTGTTGACAAATTTGGTTGGTGCACTTGGGATGCGTTTTACTTGACCGTAGAACCCGCTGGTGTATGGCAGGGTGTGAAAGAGTTCGTCGATGCTGGTGTCCAACCGAGGTTTATCATCATCGATGATGGCTGGCAAAGTATCAATAATGATACCGATGACCCGAACCAGGATGCGAAAAACCTTGTTCTTGGAGGGGAACAGATGACTGCCAGGCTTTACAGGTTTGAAGAGGGTGAGAAGTTTAGAAAATATAAGGGAGGCTCCTTCTTGGGTCCCAATGCCTTTTCGTACAACCCACACAAGTCCAAGATGCTGATCACAAAGGCCATTGAAGTCGAACATGCTGTCAAGGCTCATGACAAGGCCCTCCAATCCAGCGCCACTGATGTTTCCGAAATCGAAGCCGCGATCAACAAGCTGAAACAAGAATTGGATGATATGTTCAAAGGAGAAGGAAGTAGTCTTTTGAATGGAAACCATGAAAGCAGTGGCTGCAACGCTGATGACTATGGTATGAAAGCTTTTACAAAGGATTTGCGAACCCAATTCAAAGGTTTAGACGACATCTGGGTGTGGCATGCTCTTTGTGGTGCTTGGGGTGGTGTAAGACCTGGTGCAACTCATCTCGATTGCAAAATAGTTCCCTGCCATGTCTCTCTCGGTCTTGCTGGGACGATGCCAGATTTGGCGGTCGATAAAATCGTTGAAGGAGGTATTGGACTAGTTCATCCAAGTCAAGCTGATGACTTCTATGACTCCATGCATTCTCACCTTGCTAAATCGGGTATTACAGGAGTCAAAGTTGATGTCATTCACGTAAGTAATCTTAAAAACTCAAAGTAGTACTAAATTATATGTTTGCTTGAACATTGTAATTATTCTATATGTTCATGTTTTTCGATTTAGACTCTCGAATATGTATCCGAAGAATATGGAGGCAGGGTTAACCTAGCCAAGGCTTACTACAACGGGTTGTCAAAATCGTTGTCAAAGAACTTCAAAGGGACCGGGATCATCTCCAGCATGCAACAATGCAATGACTTTTTCTTCTTGGGGACAAAGCAAATATCCATGGGCAGAGTAGGTAAGAAACACAATACATATCTTTGATTCCAACCAATTACAATAACCTATACTAAAACATGTTTTGATTTTAATTGTTTTAAACAACAGGTGATGATTTCTGGTTCCAAGATCCGAACGGCGATCCGAACGGAGTTTTCTGGTTGCAAGGTGTTCATATGGTTCACTGTGCTTATAACAGTTTGTGGATGGGTGAGATCATACAACCTGATTGGGACATGTTCCAGTCAGACCATGTTTGCGCCAAATACCATGCTGGATCCAGGGCAATTTGTGGTGGACCGGTCTACATTAGCGACTCCCTTGGCGGCCATGATTTTGACCTTATTAAGAAGCTTGTGTACCCTGATGGCACCATCCCCAGGTGCAAGCGCTTTGCCCTCCCTACTAGAGACAGTCTTTTTGTGAACCCTTTATTTGACAACAAATCCCTCCTCAAGCTATGGAATTTCAATAAGGTACCTCCACTGTTGTCAATTTTTTTCTTGTACATCAAGCTACTTGGTTGTATATATGTGTGTGTGTATATGATCTCAAAATCCTCTGTCCGTGCAGTATGGAGGTGTTGTTGCAGCTTTCAACTGCCAAGGAGCCGGATGGGATGGTAACCTGCGGAGGATCATCGGCTATCCACAGTGCTACAAGCCCATCTCCGGTTCTGTGCATGTCACCGATATCGAATGGGACCAATGCAAAGAAGCTGCTGCTATGGGTGAGGCTGAAGAGTATGTGGTCTACCTAGACCAAACTGAAACTATTCTCTTGGTGACACCGAAATCTGATCCAATTCAAGTCACCGTCCAACCATCTTCATTTGAGATTTTCAGCTTCGTGCCATTGAAAAACCTCGGTCCTACTGCTAAATTCTCCCCTATTGGTCTAACCAACATGTTTAATTCGGGAGGCACAATTCAAGAAGTGGACTACAATGAGGCCGGAGCAGCCCCAGCTGCCAGGATCAAAATCAAAGGTGGCGGGAACTTCCTAGCCTATTCTAATGTTGCTCCAAAGACCTGTTTCGTGAACGGTGCTGAGGCGGCTCCCGTTTGGTCAGCCGACGGCAAGCTGAAGCTCGATCTTCCTTGGATTGAAGAAGCCGATGGAATTTCTTATGTGAATTTTTTCTTTTAAATTACGTTTTTGGATTGTTGTTTAGATTTGAACTCATCTAAAGGATGTATTTGTTCATTCCTTTCTTATTATTCAAAATAATAATATCCAAGTCTATGTACGTGGAACATGCAACAATCTTTCACAAAGATGTTTCTAACTGTAATTGTACCATAAAAGCCGCTATTACAGTTACATTAATGTCGTAAACAGACAAGGAGTTGTTCATAAAATATTTTAAATTTATTTTCTTAATATAAATTTATGTGTCAGCCACTACTAATAATTTAACATTATAGTAGAAATGTGTAGTTGTTCATATCTTGTAACATAGGGCAAATCGATGGCATTGCCTTGTAGCTGAAGCAATCTGGTGGACGAGACAACCGGATAAATAATTGGTTGAATGAAAAGAAGTATGGCCAACTTTTTTTAAAGATGACATTAACGGTTGTTATCGTTTAACATTTTATTAGGTAGTTATCACAATTGGTTCAAGTCTTCTAACCCATCTCAAATCCCTAAATTATACATAATCCCCTCCCAAATCCCTAAATTAAAAGTAGGGGTAAATTATTCTATTGGTCATTAAACTATGGGATTTTTTTTAATAAATTAAATCACTAAACTTTACTTTTTTTTCAATCATGCTACCTATTGTTAAATCAATGATGGCTAGCTGACGTAATATTTTAAAATTTATATGATAATAGATTCAGTCTCTAATTTTACACATTCAATCAATTTAATTTAAATTTAATAAATTAATCATCAAAATTTACATATAAAAATTTTAAATTTTGATACCGTAAAATAAACAATATATTCATTAACATAATATTGATAAATCTTAATATTTATTATTGTGTTTATTAGATTTTATATAATGTTAGATATATCCAGAATTCGCCAAGTAGCTCTTAACATGTCCGATAAAGTCAGGAAACCGAAAGCTGTTCAAGAAAAAAATCCCTTGGAGAAACCTTCCAAAATTGCCAGAAAAGAGCCGTTGGATTGAATTACAGATGTCCTTTAGCCGTCGTTTTCATTGGAACAAACTGTTAAACAACTGCTTCGCCAGTGGAAGAAACTCAATGTGGCCAGCGATCACAAAATCCAAAGCTGTCGGCTTCATCAATCTTCTTTGAAGAAGGAACAGCAGATTCCAACGGATCGTGCAAAAGCAAGATCACGAGTCAATTGCTTACGAAAACGCGTTTGGGCAGATTTTAATGGTTTATCCTTCCACTTCTTTTTGGTCGGTCCAATGTTAGAAGAGTGTACTATATGGAAGGGAACGTCGTGTTAGATGACCAACTGCAATTTAACTAGCAACCATAAATAACCGTTATTCAAGGCTTCGAATAAATTAATAAATCTACCGACACTTTGACTGTTCAGAAACTTATCCTATAACGCCATCATCATGTTCTTCTTCTCAAGTGCATGCATGGATGCATTCGTCGTGACCATACATAGTTTTGGAAATTAAATTATGAACAGGATATAAAATTTTAAGATGCATGGTCTATAAGCAGCCCAAGCGTCGGGGATTCTTGGGCTCGAACCGTTTATTTTCTCCTTTGATTGGGTTTAAGGTTACCGACAAAGAGTAAAATGAGTCAGGCTCGAAAGATATGATAAATTCAAAAGGGAAACGTTTAGAAAATTGAGAGAATCATTTAAATGTTTAGTTGAGCCTTTATGAATAAAATAATTTAGATTAAATTTATTGATTAATAAATTAAATATTAATAATTATAAAAATAACAATTATCTTTGATAGTCTAGTGTGAAATCAATACGAATAGGATGTTGATATTTATAAAGAGATGACAACATATGATGGTGTTGATAAGGACGTTACAGGATCACTCGCGGAGCCATTGTCATATGACACCCTAAAAATTTATGATTTTTTTAAAAAATATAAATTTAATATAAAATATTTTTTTGATATAAAAAAGTTGAGGTCAGGGTGACTCCCTTAGTTCAGGATTATGGTATACTTAAAATTCAACTGAGATTTATATAGGAATTTATAAATTGTCCACCAAGAGTGACGGTGGTAAGATTTAATATAAAATATTTAAAAATAAATTTCTCGAAGGATATAAATTCTCATTCAATTTAAAGCAGAACTTTAGATATTTATGGAGGTTCTTGTTGTGTGTAAAATTTGGAAGTGTAACGAGTTAATAATTTAGAGTTTTTAGGATTACTTCAAAATTACTTTTAGATGACAAATATATTACAATCATATAACATGTCTTAGTTCTCATAAATAATTATTAAAATATAAATATTTTCTTTTAATAATATAAAATACTATATATATATATATATTCAAAATACTTTTTAATCGCTAACTCTCGAGATATATATCTTTGATAAAATAGAATTATCAATATATAGTATTAACTTTTCCCCTAGTTCTTCTAACCTCACGGCACCTTTTGCTGTCTTCAGTAAAGCCAAAACTTAACGATCCGATGATCCATCACATGTCGCGTTGCCGTCATATCTGAGCCATTAAAATTAGGGTTTATCAAAATCCATCTTTCCCAGCTTTAAGATCCCACCCCAAATCAATTCAGTTTCCACCAGTAGAAATAAACATAAACCTCTATCTCCCCTCCTCCCTCTCTGTCGGGTAAATTAAAAAGAAGAGGCATATTTCAGGTTTGTGCATGAATCTAATAAAACTGTAAGCCACAAAAGGGGAAAAATCTGGAGAAGTGTTTTTGGTTTCATGTTAGATTCACGCACAAACTCGTAATCTGTATTTTCATTCATTCCACATCGTTTCTTCAAGTTGCTGTATTTCCTTTTTGGTCACAAAGGAATTGCCAAATTTGATCTATAATTTTGGGAAAAGGGGGAAAATGCAAACTGTTATTATCAAGGTTGCTTGACGCCCGGTGAGTTAAGGAAGAAAAAAATCCTCTAGATTTGAAGGTAATGGTGATGTCAAAATTGTAGATTAAATTTGAGTAATTTTATTTGATGAGATCATGACTTTGTTTTGAGTAATTATTCCAGGATTTGGTTTGTTAATGTGTGGAAAAGGAACTTTAATCTAACTATTAATGGAAGGGTAAAGGTATAAAATAAATGGTAATTGGAGAATGAATTACTGATTAGACTTTTTTTTTCTATTAGTAGTAGTAATAGACAACAGAACACCATACTTGATTAATTACATTTACTTGTTGAAAAGCTTTGATATTTATCTTCATCAATTAGATCTTATCATGAAACACCCCATTCTTTGAAAAGCTGAGATAAGACAAAAGGAGTAGTTGTTCGTTATAATTGCATTCATTCATTCATCCTAGCCATGTAATGCCTCAAAATCTTGTTGGCCTGCATTGGGAAAGACAATGTCATGAAATCTTCAGGATTTTCTGCTGGCCTTGTTAGGATGGAAAATCCATTGGATTTAGTACCTTGAATGAGAACTAGTACTTGCAGAACGATTTATCGGTACGGATCCAATCTCACCTTTGCTTCTCCTTTCCTAGTGTTTAAGATAATGACACAAGTCTTTCTGCTTCTGTTATGTTAGGGTTATCTCCCGGTTATTTCGAGGGTAATAAACCTTGAACAACTCTAGGAGGAAGATCTAGATGAACGCTGGGAAAGTGTGCATTGATGCAGTAGAATGCCTTATTGACAAGGGGTATCATCAGAACCCACAATTAATGTTTCATGAGGCCAATTCTTGTCTCAAAAACATTAACAAAAAAATAGAAATTCGCAGACTTGTATGTTGTTGAAACAGGATCCTTTAGTGGATTGAGTTTTTGAAGTCCATCTCGAGCCTCTTAAACTTGCTAACTCCTGCGTTATAACTTAGAAGTCGTTTATCTGCATTCACTGATTGAGTTTTTATTTCGAGTTGATTGTTATATAGATCGAAATTTAGAGTAATATGGACTTACAACTCTATTGAAATTGGTCCTCTCTTCCTTGTCTTGAAGAGTAATTGTGCTTCCTTTGATAGAAAATTTCTTAAAGAGGTACATACTTTGATTTTGTTTTATAGTTTGTAGTTATTTTGAATCATACATTACAAAAGAAAATACTTTATTTATTGTTTTGTATTCTCGAGCCTCTTAAACTTGCTATCTCCTGCGTTATAACTTAGAAGTCGTTATCTGCATTCACTGATTGAGTTTTTATTTTGAGTTGATTGTTATATAGATCGAAATTTAGAGTAATGGACTTACAACTCTATTGAAATGGTCCTCTTCCTGTCTTGAAGAGTAATTGTGCTTCCTTTGATAGAAAATTTCTTAAAGAGGTACATACTTTGATTTTGTTTTATAGTTTGTAGTTATTTTGAATCATACATTACAAAAGAAAATACTTTATTTATTGTTTTGTATTTATATTTTTTTCTCATAAGAATGAACCAATTTATTTACTAACAACTCTGTTTCATCTATTTTGGGGGATTTTCTTTTTATATCATACATGATGCAACACCTATGGTTATAAGGGCAAAGCTAGTGAAATCTCTTTCAACAACTCATCAACTACAGATTCTTATGAATGTGTGAGTAACTAAAGGCAAGAAATTAGTGGTGATGCTGCAAGCATCATCAGAAAATTTCTTCCTGACCAAAAGTATACACATTTACACTATAAATTGCTTACATATGAAGAATTAAAATGAAAATAGTTGTCGTTTGCAACAGCAATGACTCTCTGATTACTGATTTGTGTCCAAATTTTGTGCAAGCATGAATGAGTAACTGAAGGCAAGAAATTAGTGTTACTGCTGCAAACATCAGAAAATTTGCCCATGTTGTTTTATTTGCCGACAGTCGAAAACTTGATACATCATTGGACCCCATTTGTCTTATCTCTGGCGTGGACCGACACATTACACATGCAGACAGACGGCAAGGAGGAGACAGCAGAAGAAAGAAAGATTGATATTCCGATTCCATCTACAATATTTCATTCAACAAAACACAATAAATTTTGGATATTTGTCTCATCCCTCTAATGAACATTTTTAGCATACTTTGAATTTGGCCATGCCATGTGCGCCACTCAATTAAGCTTTTGATTTGAATAAAATCAA